CCCCGCGTGGGGCCCCCGTGGGGGCCTTGCTCCCCAGGGTCCCTCCTGGTACCCGCTGGGTGCAGGCTGGTGCTCTCGGAGATGGAGCTGCCGGTCCGGGTCCGGCTCCTGAGCAAAACCTGAGGGTGGACATGGGTCAGGTGCCACCATGGCGCCCGCCTTGGTGGCCCCTTGGGCACCTGGGAGCCTCCGTGGGTGCCACTGCATCTCACCTCCTCGTCCCTGCCCACGAGCACCAGCTGGCCGTCCACCAGCGAGAAGTTGGAGACGTCCCACACCTGGGCATCGGGCATGGGGGCCAGGGCAGGTGGCAGGAGGTGGCTGCTCTCTCAGAGGAGGGTGTCATGGCTGGGCGGCCACCAGCCACGACGCTGCCTGGCCTGACCATGCCCATGGTGATGCCAGGACACACGTGGCCCATGGCCTTGTCGTGGTTGGGGCAACGGTGCCACAGGATGCATGGTGGTGGCCGTGCCACCACTCATGTGGCAACGCTGGGGCATGGTCGTACCTTGGTTGGCATCATCATCCCCAATCTGTCACCATCACCCACCACCCATCATCCTCAGCCTATCATGATCACCCTCCATCATTGCCCACCCAACCCATCACCATCATCCCTAAGATGTTGCCATCACCCTTCACCACCACCCACTGCCCCCAACGTGTCACCATCATCCATCTTCATCATTCGCCGCCCAATACATCCTGAACATCACCCATCACTCTCAACCCATCACCCTTCATCATTATCCACCACCCCACCCCATCACCATCACCCTTCATCACTCGTGGCTCCCAAACCATCACCATCATCACCAAGCTGTTGCCATCACCCATCACTATCACCCATCACCCTCATCCTCCACCATTACCCACCACCCATCACCCGCAACCCATCACCCTCATCCACCACCCTCAACCCATCACCCTCATCCTTCATCATCACCCCCAACTCATCACTCTGCCCCTTCACCCATCACCCCCAACCCATCACCATTCACCATCACCCCCAACCCATCACTCTGCCCCTTCACACATCACCCTCAACCCATCACCATTCACCATCACCCACCACCCATCACCCCCAAGCTATCATGATCGTTCTCCATCATTGCTCACCACCCATCGCACCCAACCCACCACCGACCCAGCAGACCTGTCCCCAACAATGTCCCCATACCCGGTGCATCATGGGGCGCCCGCTCAGCCCTGGCCCCGCTCTCCACGGGACCTTTCTTCTTGGACATGGAGCGCAGGTACTTCTGCAACGTGGTCTTGCCACCCTGGGGCTCCTTGGCCACCTTGGAGGGTGCTGAGAAAGCCCTTTGGAAGAGGGACCTCCGGGTGTTGGATTTGGCTGCTCCGGGTGTCCCAGAGCTGCCTTTTCCCACGGCATCCTCGGCGCTGTCGGATTCGGGTTGGCTGTAGGAACGTTTCCATCCCTCCA